TAAGTTGAACTTTCTTCTCTGTGGCTATATCATGCAGACATATAACCTTCTCCGTACAGGGCAGCTCGAGGCGGTGTAATGGTTAACAAGCTTGTCTCGCTAGAACAATTACGACTTAGTAGTGAGTTCGATCCTCACTAGGTGCCTCATACATTCGGCCTTGTACCACATCCCAGCTACGCTTGAAAAATAAGGGCACCTCGAAGCGGTGGAATAGCTAGCAAGCTTGTCTCGCAAGAACATTTATGACTGAGTAGTGAGTTCGATCCTCACTGTGTGCCCCTTACTTTCGGCCTTGTGCCACATCTAAGCTGCGCTTGAAAAATCTCTATAACCTTCTCCGTATATTTCGGTTAAAATACTACGGAAGATTCATCACTGGACTTAACCAGCAACTTTTCAACACTTTTGCCGGACATCTGAACTAACCCTTCGAACTGTGGACATACATACTGTTATGGGAACTTACCCATCATAATAATGGACTATTCCTGACATTATAAATACTGCGCCTCTCAAGAGGTATGGGCGGAGATTGTAAGACGAGGAGAGATAATTGAGAGCATATTGTAAGGACATTGGACTAGTAAGAAAAAAAGAAGCGTACCGTTTGCGTCAACAGAAAAAATAGATCAAGAATTGGCTAGACTCGAAAACACCGGCATATTGACAAAAGTAGAATACAGTCAATGGGCCGCACTCACGGTTTACGTAAAAAAACCCCCCAAAAAACAGGGGTGATTCGAGTATGCGCTGATTTCTCAACGGGTTTGAACGCAGCGATAAAAGACTACCACTATCCTCTACCCAGTCCAGAAGAATTATTCACGAAAATCGTCCAGAAAAAAGGAAGTTCACAGAACCTTTGGTAATAAATCCAAAGAGAAAAAAATATTAAAAACCCCTGCTACGCAAAAGTTTTGGAAGTGGGGTGTTATTGGAACTTACCCATAATAATAATGTACTATTCCTGACCTTATAAATACTGCGCCTCGCAAGAGGTATGAAGAGATTGTAAGACGAGGAGAGATAATTGAGAGCATATTGTAATGACATTGGAATAGTGATACTTGTCGAGACAACATAGTTCACTCTAACCAAATCTGATAGTCATTACTAATTCTTCTACTTCTTTGTATTATATTTCTGTTGTAATATATCTTTGTATTCCATACCTGTGTTCGTGTTATTTCTTTCATTGGTTCTAACCTTGGACCATCATCGTGGTACAAGGCACTTGGACCATAAGACATACCAACTTAACTTACATGCACTCTACTTTTAATATTTACTCAGTTATATTATCTAGATCTTCTAGCCAGTCAATATCCCTTCATTAACTTACTTCCGCCATTACTTAATTTTGTTCACGTTCCTTTAATCCAAATAAATACTTTTGTATATTATTTAAATAAATGTTTGCATAATTTTAAGTTTGTCGTTTGTTGTTCTGTTATTAACCTGTCAGATTCCATGTCTTTTATTTTTAAAATGTTAACAGACCTCTTGTGACTCATACTGATTTGAGGCGTACAGGACATGTAATATCGCAGCCCTTCAGGGGTTCCGCTACATATCTAAATATATGAAGAATAATTTCCGTGTTTCAAAATATATTGTATCGGTTGAGGTTTTATATATTTTTTGGGGGTGTAATAAGACGTTTTCACGTTCCAACAATTGCTAACGTTCAAGCATCACTCGCTCAGACACACTCACACAAAATGAGAAAAACAAATTCACTAGCATTTATCAGCGAGAGAGACCCGGCGAGAGAGCAATATACAAATATCTGTAGAAATTAGAGTGTTCTTTCTTTCTTTCTTTCTTTCTTTCTTTCTTTCTTTCTTTCTTTCTATCTTAGTCCGTTCATCTTTATATATGTAAGTATGTATATATGAATGTATCTTAGTCTGTTCACCTATCTATCTATCTATCTATCTATCTATCTATCTATCTATCTATCTATCTATCTATGTTCCTCTCTGTATATATGTATATATGTATGTATGTATATATGCATGTATCTTAGTCTGTTCATCTATCTATCTATCTATCTATCTATCTATCTATCTATCTATTTTCGTCTGTTCATCTCTGTATATATGTATGTATGTATATATGCATGTATCTTAGTCTCTTCATCCCTCTATTTATCCTTGTCTGTTCATCTATCTATCTATCTATCTATCTATCTATCTATCTATCTATCTATCTATCTATCTAGATTAGTCTGTTCATCTATCTATCTATATCTATATATCTTTATACACACAGACACACACGCACGCATTATATATATAACTAACAGACTAAATATATATATATATATATATATATATATATATATATATATATATATATATATATATTAGTCCGTTAGTTAGTTATATATATATATCTGATTTCTCTGCAGATTTCGTCAATGCCGACACTGCTTGTTACAAGAACAGTTGAATCATTCAACTGGCCTAGGCGGTAACACCAGGTAACGAAATGCCTCATTCAGCAGAATTCGCCCTTAACTTAAGAAGCAAAGGTTTCAGCGTAAGAACGTGCAACAAAGGTGAAAGTAGACAACTGGAGAGAGACAATACGATAGGATTTGATCTTACGCCATTCCTTTTCATCAACGCACCGGGGGTGGCATACAGAAGTCCAAAAGTACAGCCCGAAACCGGACATCTCATCATAACAATTACCATGAAAATATTTACAGAAAAGACAGAGGGAAGCCACGTCACAGCGATGGTAAATTGAGAGAAGTCTAGGTGCCAGGTCAGGATAGATAAGATTACAGAACCTTCTTTTGGAACTTCTGAGAATCCTGAGAAAAAATATAGCATGACTATCAGACCAGGTATGGCAGCAATTTTTCATGCATGGTAGATTTATGAACGCACAAGGTCGAACACAACACAAGAGCAGCTTGGTTTTAAGGAAAATTAAATAAAATAGAAAGAAAGAAAGAAAGAAAGAAAGAAAGAAAGAAGGAAAGACGAGCGAAGATAAAGCAGATTATAAAGCTGTCGTATTTAATGTCGGTCTAAGGGAAACCGAAAACCTTATCAATTTTTTCCTTCCTTTGAACTCTTACTTCTTTAAATAATGACCAGCATTAATACTTACTAGTAGTGCCATGAAAATTTCAGGGCTTTTTTGCTTGAATTTTGTTTTCTTTCTTTCTTTCTTTCTTTCTTTCTTTCTTTCTTTCTTCTCAATATTTTACTACCTACTTTCACCTATCTATCTATCTATCTATCTATCTATCTATCTATCTATCTATCTATCTATCTATCTATCTATCTATCTCATTCTGTTCATTATCTATCTATCTATCTATCTATCTATCTATCTATCTATCTATCTATCTATCTATCTAAGTTTCTTCATATCTATCTATCTATCTATCTATCTATCTATCTATCTATCTATCTCAGCAGTTTCATATCTATCTATCTATCTATCTATCTATCTCATTCTGTTCATTATCTATCTATCTCATTCTGTTCATTATCTATCTATCTATCTATCTATCTATCTATCTATCTATCTATCTATCTATCTTCTCAAAATTTCGCTACGTACTGTCACCTGACTGTCTGTCTGTCTGTCTGTCTATCTATCTTTCTTTCTTTCATTCACTCACTGAAACCAAGCAGCGTCTCGGACATGTCTTTTTCGATTTTTAGACGCGAGCAAAACGTAGTTGTCCATTATTTATTAGGCATTGGTAGGACGTAACCTACGTATGATCTAAACTAAGAGAGGAACAAACACATGATTGTTACAAGCATATATTGCTAAATTTGTCAAGCTGAAATATTTAACGATAAAGATGAGAAATTTCCAAAGATATTTTATAATAGTACAACTCACAAGCACTTTATTCAATCGTTAAGATTTATAATTTAGCACGAAATGCAAGTAGAAAAACGGGCAAATGTTCATGGGTATGGCGAGTTAGCCTCTTATCACAAAAGTGGACAAAATTCCATTCACAGAAATACAAGCCCCATAGACCCCCCCCCAAAAAAAAAAACACTGAAGATTCAAGCAACTTTTAATCCAAATTTTATCCTCAGATTAAGACCCTGATAATAATAATATTTAATGTATAGATTTATATATAGAAGAAATGTATTTCGGGAATAAAAGCTTTATTTAAGTCCTGAAATAGATAGATAGATAGATAGATAGATAGATAGATAGATAGATAGATAGATAGAAAGAAAAGATAGATAGATAGATAGATAGATAGATAGATAGATAGATAGATAGATAGATAGATAGATAGAAAGGACGATAGACAGATAGAAATAAAAGAAAGAAAGATAGATAGATAGATAGATAGATAGATAGATAGAAAGAAAAGAAAGAAAGAAAGAAAGATAGATAGATAGATAGATAGATAGAACGATAGACAGATAGAAAGAAAAGATAGATAGATAGATAGATAGAAAAAAAGAAAGATAGATAGATAAATAGATAGATAGAAGAAAAAAAGAACGATAGCCAGATAGAAAGAAAAGAAAGAAAGATAGATAGATAGATAGATAGATAGATAGATAGAAAAAAACAAAGAACGATAGCTATATAGATAAATAGATAGATACAAACTGATTGTGATAGATAGATAGATAGATAGATAGATAGATAGATATAAAAAACAAAGAACGATAGCTATATAGATAAATAGATAGATACAAACTGATTGTGATAGATAGATAGATAGATAGATAGATAGATAGATAGATAGATAGATAGATAGATAGATACAAACAAACTGATTGAGATAGATAGCTCAAGCAAAAACGATTACAGTCTGCCGGTCACTGCGACCCAGAGGACAGGTAATCTCATCTTTACACCTATGGCATCGTTCTAGAAGTGTCTTCTCACCAAAATTGACTTTCCCAGTCATCATAGTTCGGGACTCAAGGTTGGACATTGCCGATCTGGGGATAGCAATACATGACCGAACAGTGTGGAAAGACATTGTCAATAGAGTTCCCACCAACCATAGGGAGGTCGAAGGATGATGATAATGATGATTTATATATAAATGTATATATTGTTAGTGAATATTTCAGTTTCGACATTAATATTTCCTTGAATTTTCCATGTTATTGTTTTTTATATATATATATATATATATATATATATATATATATATATATATATACACGAGACATTTTTATGAGAGCCTGGGATGTTGCCCACTTGATATTTGTTCGCTAGGTTTTAGTCCACTGTAGAAAAATTGGTTTGAATAGTTGAGAACACCATTTAAAATTCTGAGGGAGGAAATTGTGTTTAACGTTAATAATCTGTTTGAATTAAACTCCAAGAAACTGGACGAACTGATGTCCCCAAGAGACACTACAAAAATAGTCATTTTGTTTCAACACCCCCGGTGTCTTATCAAGTGATGATGTTGAATGTAAAATAAATGGTATTAGCTCCTATTATCCTTTGTATTGAGCACTCTTAAGAATAGTAATTGTTGGTTATTAGAATTCATTCCGTATACACCAATCATATATTTAGGTATATATATATATATATATATATATATATATATATATATATATATATATATATATATATATATATTCTCTATTATTGTTAATGTCTCCATTTGTCATTAAATTTTGAATTTTCAATGTTTAATTTGTTTCTTTTTATATATAAGGCATTTGATTAATATGACTAGACTTTTTCCATTTTGGGGATAAGACGTTAGGATTTTGTCCACTGGCTTTTTGTTCACTGGGCTTTTGTTGACTATATTTTTGTGAGGAAAAATTGGTTTGAGTACTTGAGAAGAACTGTATTTAATAATAATTTACAGTTGATAATAAAACTCAGTATTTCTTGGAGTGGACCCCCAAGAATCTATGCAATCTGATACGACAACGGCAATGTTTCCTGATATTTTGATCGATTAGTTCTTTGCTAGTTTTTAACTTTTTTTTTTTAAAAAAAAAATATTCTGTCCTCGTTGAAAAAAATGGCTATGGCGTCAACAAAACTGCGTAGCAGCGAAAATGTCAGAATCAGACAGTTGGAGAAGCGAATGTTTACATTGACCGGGAAATAATTTTTAGATAACATCGGTACACTGGTAAAAATCTCTTGCAACATTTTTTTCTTTCTTATAGGGCACACTTTGATAGAAAATATTCAATGAAAAAAATATATAGAAAAGTAGAAATGAAAATGTCGCCTGCTGAAGGCAGAGATCAGACGATCGGTCCGATAACGAATAAGTTCAGCAAATTAGTGGAGAAGTATAGAGAAAAACATAATTTAGGAATAGCAATTTATTGCGAACTCCAGAAGCGGACTGAATTTGAACATTTGCACCAGTCGTCTATATCCACAACAAAATTACACTAAAAAATTGAAATGTTGTCAAGACATCTTTTTTAAGCTAATTTTAGGGCGCTGAATCTGAAAATGATCTTACCTTTTCTTGGTTACCCACCGTTTATGCTCTAGAGAAATGCCTCATTTTTGGAAAAAAAAAGCATTTTTTTCATTTGATTTTTGTATATATGATATTGACGGATGGCTTTATCTCTCGAAGTAAAATCGTATTTAAACTAACAAATATTGATCTGCTTATTGAGAAATACTATTTTTGCAATAACAACCAAACCCTAAGTCTTTAAAAATAACACGATTGAATATACCAAGACCAACAAGTATTTTTATCAAATCAGTTAATAAACTAACAACAGAATCAAAACCTACTTTAAATAATTTCACCAAAAATCGTGTTGACCAATGTTATCTGAGGATTATAGAGAATGGCATAATTTAGAAATAGCAATTTATTGCGAACTCCTGAAGCGGTCTGGTTTTTATTATTTGCACCAATCGTCTATATCCACAAAAATATTACACTGGTCAACAAAAAAAAAATTGAAATAGTGTCGAGACAACAAACATCTTTTTTAACTAATCTGAGGACGCTGAATCTGAAAATGACCAAACTTTTTATTGGTCAGCTACCGTTTTTTCTATACGAAAATGTCTCACTTTTGGAAAAAAAAAATTGTATATATGATACTGACCGATGGCAATATTTCTCAAAAAAAAATCGTAGAAACCTCTTAATTCGTATTTAAACTAAAAAAATATTGGTTTGCTTATTGAGAAATACTATTTTTGCAATAACAATCAAACCCTAAGTCTTTAAAAATAACACGATTGAATATATCAAGACCAAAATGTATTTTTATCAAATCATTTAATAAACTAACAGCAGAATTAAATGCTTCATGAACTTAGAACTACTTTAAAAAATTTCACCAAAAATCGTGTTGACCTGTGTTATCTGAGAATTATAGAGAATGGTATAATTTAGGAATAGCAATTTATTGCGAACTCCTGAAGCGGTCTGGATTTTGATATTTGCACCAATCGTCTATATCCACAAAAGAAATTACACTGGTCAACAAAAAAAAAAAAAAATTGAAATGGTGTCGAGAAACCAAACTTTTTTTTTGTAAATAATCTGAGGATGCTGAATCTGAAAATGACCAAAGTTTTTATTGGTTACCTACAGTTTTTTTTCTATACAAAAATGCCTCACCTTTGGAAAAAAAATCATTTTCTGTATATATGATATTGACCGTTGGCAATATTTCTCAAAATAAAATCGTAGAAACCTTTTAATTAGTATTTATATTCGGCAGATATGATAAGGTATTAAACAAAAGGATTCCTTTTTTTTCAGTTTGCTGCTGCTGTTACTCTCATGAGAGTTCCCTTGCCCCCTCTGTAAATGAACCTAAGAAAAACAGTTCTTATTAGATCAACTGCAAATTGAAAGCAACGTCTAATTTTGTGATGTTACCGTATTCCATTCTTTAAAATCATCTTTTCCCAAACAAGGCAATAAAGCCACTAGGATGCAAAAGTTACTGAATATGAGAGAATATGAGAAAATACTAATATCAAGGAGAGTGGACAATAAAATAACAAGAATGAAGAAGACAGAAGATAACAATTGACATTACATTTAAATCTTTGAAGATCAAAGGCAATAAAGCAACTAGGACGCAAAGGAGTTACTAAGATTGAGAATAGGAGAAAAATTACTATTAAGGAAAGAGAACAATAAAAGAATAAGAATTAAGAAGACAGAAGATAACGATTGAAATTGCAATTAAATAGTTATGTTTCCCTTCTTGTTCGCACCAAAAACTGGGGAAAAAACACGCTGTAAGCTGACAATGAAACGAAAGATGAAAACAAATGCTACGACGAGAAACGAGAATTCAAAGGAGTCACATCAAGCTGTTTTTGCACCTAAACCACACTGAAAAAATTTCCCCTTTATTTTAAATTAAATTTGAATTTGAAAAAAGGAATGACTCCTATCGAGAATATAGAGGGAGAAAGCCAGAAGATTGAGGTCACATTGACAAAATCAAAATGTGACAATATGGACACAAGCTGAGCAAGAAATCACCAATCAGTGGGTAGTGCTTTACAATACATATTTGTTGTGACAATTTAACTGTCATATCAAGTATTGCATCAAATACACACAAAAGGGGCCAGATCAAGCTGATTTTGCTTAAATTTCTCACTGAAATTTTTTTTCACTTTGATGTAAATTACATTTACATTTCAACAGGGGAATGTCTCCTATCCAAAATATAGAAGGCGAAAGCAAGAAGATGGAGGACACATCGACAAGATCATTGAGTAATAGTGAAATGAATCATTTTACTCCACAAATTATAAAAAAATGATTAAAATCAACAATCATTTTCTTACTAAAAAATGTGTGAGACACAGCAATGAGCGGGTAAATCGACTAGTAGATAATAAAAATAAAAAAATATGTAATCAGTAAGAGTGTTTAGTAGCTCTTAAATATGTCGTCTTTGGTCACATTTGCTGAGTTTATTCCGAAGTTTTTGGGCACAGATACTGTTTATAACTATTTAAAATGTAAAAATCGAAAAAGACTAATTTTGAATATTGACACGTTATAATTTTTTTTCCAAATATAGTATATTAATATATCAGTTACTGAATTGGGCCATGGGTCTGCGAAACTTAAAGTTGATTGATAATTTAACTGACGTTTTCTATATCTATCTCTCTCTCTCTCTCTCTTTCTATATATATATATATATATATATATATATATATATATATATATATATATCTTAGTGTGTTCATATCTATCTATCTATCTATCTATCTAGCGATCTATCAATATATCTCTGTTCATATCAATCTATCGATCTCTGAAGTATGTATGTATCTATCTATCTATCTCAGTGTGTTCATATCTATGTCGGGCTCTTCATATCTATCTATCTATCTATCTATCTATCTATCTATCTGTTCATCTCTTCAGCTATCTATCTATCTATCTATCTGTTCATCTCTTCAGCTATCTATCTATCTATCTATCTATATATATATATATATATATATATATATATATATATATATGTATACATAAGCCTGGCCACTGTTATCCGATGATGTCTGTCTAGTAGGGCAGCTAACCAAAGCCACAGGCACATTTGTCTTTCTTCAACACTCACTGAGCCCATCAGTTGTTTATATTGCAACTATGCCGTTATCGTTTCTGGGAGATCATCTGTCTGAACGTAGCCAGCAAGCTCAACCCCTCGGTCACGATGACTTGTGACTACGTGCTAGCAAAACCATCGATGGTTGCACATAGAGGTCCATCTACATAACTGCACTCACAAGTCTTGGGTCAAGCCGTTCTGTAGTTTTAAGGGACTTTCTAAAGGTGGCTAAAGCTGGGATCGCCTCCCCGTGAAAGATAACAAGAAGTCGCCTTACTGCCAATTCAACCATGGCGAGATTCGAACACAGGTCTCGTGGTCACAAAGCGAACGTTCTAACCACTTGGTCACATACATACATATACATACATATATATATATATATATATATATATATATATATATATATATATATATATATATATATATATATATATATATATATATATATATATATATATATATATATATATATATATATATATATATATAATAGACATACAGATAGATAGGTAGATAGATAGATAGATAGATATTGAAGAGACAGAAGATAGATAGGTAGATAGATAGATAGATAATGAACAAACTGAGATAAATAAATAGATAGATAATAAATATAGATAATGAACACACACACACACACATATATATATATATATAGTCTTAAGATGTACTATATATATATATATATATATATATATGAAGAAATATAGTCTTAAAGTGTGCTATATTTATGGGATAAAGTGCTCAATATCAGAGATAGAGCGTGTGTAGATATAAAAGTGAACATAGAAGTCAACACTTAGAGGCGACAGTCTGTTTCATGCTAGGTGCAATCGTCAGACACTCGTGGCCTGACGATTGCATCTACCATGAAACAGATTGTCGCCTCTAATTATTGACTTCTATGTTCACTATATATATATATATATATATATATATATATATATATATATATATAGAGAGAGAGAGAGAGAGAGATAGATAGATAGATAGATAGATAGATAGATAGATAGATAGATAGATAGATTATGAACAAACTGAGATAGATAGATTATGTACAAACTGAGATACATAGATAGATAGATAGATATATAGATACTCTCTATCTACGAAGTATGAGGGTCCAACATAGTGTTTTGAAAAGCATCGCCCTCTCTTTCCTTCAGTTGTCCTTCTCCTAGACTGGTTACCAACCGAATCTAAATAATACAGTTTACCCTCCTGCCTCACCAAAAACTGAAGGGGGAGAAGGTATCTCGTTCAGTCAGTTATGTGCCAAGCGTGATACACCCTTAAGCGATTATCTATCTTTCGATACATGACTGACGAGGCAGATTTTTCTTGCAGTAGGTAACCATTTCTTTCTGCGGTAGACCAGTTGCCATCCAATGCTATAGAACCCAGTCTGTCCTGCTATTTACCTATAGGTTGTGGGGGGTGAGAAGAAGAGGATCCATACCTTAGGCTATTGGCACGTAAGTGAATTTCTGCTATGTGTGATAAACGCTTTCGATACATGACTGATGTGGCAGGCTCTCCTGC